GGATGAACCATAGGAAATAAGTGACACAATCTTATTACATATGCGAGCAAAAACAGTGCTTACCCAGCTCTGCCAATCACGTTATGCTTTTAACCAAATCTGATGCAGAAAAAAATATTCAGCTGTTTCTAAAGATCAAATCCACTCCCACTGGAGGAATCTCTAACCATATGAAGCCAAGAGGACATTCAGATATGCTGGCTCCACTGATAGGTCCTAGGGAGAGTCACTTTCCTCCTTTGAGATGTGGTTTCTTAGATAGAAGGGTTATAATTAATTGCTCCAGAAATCACAGTAGGTAATTGTGAAACATGCTCTGTACACTGTAAATAGGCATTAGCATGAACTCTGAAAATAGATAATCATGATGGACCAGGGAGGGTAACAAAGGTAAAGCCACACCCACAAACCTTGAGCGTGGGCCATCCCTGTGGTTTTCTCGGGTCAACAGATTGCTGCAGAAGTGCCAGTGTGGCGGTTCTAGATCTACACCTTTAGGATCAAGCAGCCACATAAGAAACTTAAACTATCAAGTTCTGGGAGACCATGAAGAAAGAGAAACCATTCCAGACGTTCCAGCGGGTCCAGCTTCCATGTGAACACAGAGGCACCAGACACTCCATGGGAGAGCAGCAGAACCTCCCAGCTGAGCCAAGCCAGTCCACAGAATCAGAAGAAGAAATAAGCCACTGGGGTTTTTTAAACCACTAAGTTTTGGAAAAATTCATTGCACAGCAACAGGTAATTAAAACAATGATTTACAAAGTTCTAAAAAGAATTTCTATTGCTGGAAAAACTATGGCTTCCACAGGGAAGGCTCTGAAGAGGCCAGCCATCCTTTGATCCCATAAGTACACTTTTGGATCTATGTGGATGGAAAAATTGGTCTTGTTGTCTTATGAGTGGAAAGAGGGAAAGAAAGAATATTCACCAGCAATAACCCCCTAGACAACAGCATTATTTAGTTCTGCTTTTCCAGTTCTTGTCTGGAGCTCCACAAGCATTGGACCACTTATAAATACAAACTCAGATTTTTCCTCTTTCTGATTAAATCCATGTTTATCCTTACGATGCTTAGCTCATATTGGCATCACTTGAAATAATGTTTCAACATACTGAGTGAGGGAGAGATTCTGAAGAGAAAGGCCTTGGAAGATTTGAACTAAGCCTGTATTCACCCCAAAGAAGCTGGTGACTTCTTGTTCTCAGATGTCATATCTCCCTGATATGGACAGTGCAGCATCACATCCTCCTATATTCCCACCTGGCTGAGAAACGGGCACTGCTGCTATGGTCTGGATAAGTGCCCCTCCCAGGACCATGGTTCCCATTGCATGGCTCTATTGGCAGCTGATGGAGCCTTCCAAAGGTAAAGAAAGCCTAGTGGAAAGTTTTCTGGTCATTAAGGGTGAGAGGGATCGTGAGACCCCAGTTCCTTCATCTTCCTCTCTTTCCCATCTTAGCCATGAGGTGGATCATTTTGCCACACATTGCTGCCATGATGTGCTGCCTCACCACAGGCTCAAAAGCAATGGGGCCAACAAGTCATGGACTAAAACCTCCCCAACTGTGAACCAGAATAAAGTTTTCCCCTTTTTTTAAAGTTTGTTTTTTTTTTTTTAGTTGTTGATGGATCTTTATTTTATTTATTTATAGGTGGTGCTCTACCAGTGAGCCACAACCCCGGCCCAAAGTTTTTACCTTTCCAAGCCTAGTGTCTCAGGTACTTGTTACAGTAATAGAAAGCTAACTAACACAAACTCCTTGGTTCTGTTACCCTCAGATCTGTCACTCTCCAGCACTTGGCTCAGGTGATCAGCTCCTGGCATCATCCACTGTGTGTTGGTCTACTGGCATCATCCACTGTGTGTAGGTCTACTGGCATCATCCACTGTGTGTAGGTCTACTGATGAGATGCTAAGGAAGTTATGCCTATGCTACAGAACATTAGAAGAGTTTTTCAAACTCTAGTTGCCTGGACAGAGGCAAGACAGAGTAGGTTCCCTGAAAGGCACAAAGTGGGTAACTTCTATCCAGAAATGAAGAATGGCTGCTAATGAGGGATACCTCAAAGAGACTGAGGTTGGAGTAGGTGGTTCTCACCAAGCATTGTAAATTTTAAGAAGTAAAATACCAGCCTTCCAAGAAGAAGTATAACTATTTCAAGTGCAATAGTTTCCCAAGAGGTACAGCCTTTTATGATCACAATCCTTATTCTCAAATGTTTTGTTCCCTCATCTGTTCCTGAGTTCAGACAGTATCACAGGTAACAGGGAGACAAGGATCATAATTAGAAACATTTTATATACTCAACATCGTAGAAATCAATTGTTGGGGCAGAATTGGTCCACATAAGTGGACTAATTGGAAACGTCAAAAAGGCTAGAAATTTAAACCAAAAAGGTTGTTCTCTAAGGAGTACATCAAGAACCACCATCAGCTACCAATGCCACCTGGCCTTGAATAGAAGTCAAATATGCTGGCATCACAATATACTGCTTTGCCTTTCTGAAGCCATGAATCTCTGGATAATCTAATTGATGCTATTAATGCTCCACCTATAGAAATACACATGATCACATAATATGAAATTTTATGTATCATATCATGGAGTTCATGAGTTAGAAGTCCCTTCACTGGCAAACTCTGGATTCCAGATCAAGACTTCCTTATATGATAACTTGGATTCTAGCTCTGAAGCTAGGAGGTGGAGCCAGGTCCTACCTCACTCTGCATTTACTAGCTGTGTGTCTTGGACACAATCTGTGAGCTTAATTAACACTACTATAGAATGGGACCACATCACTTTCAAGAATTGTTGGTGAAGCTTAAAATTGAATTGAGAAGATATGCTTGACAGCATGCTATTTATACACAAATGAATGCAAAAATGATGGCTGAATATTGGCTAAAAATTGTCTGCAAGTTATAAGGAAGTATCACTACAGCTAAAGGAATACAGACAGTATTTTTAACAGTAACATTATTTATAGGCCATAGCATATATAAGTAAATTACAAGAACATAAATGTTATAGAGTTAACCCATCACATCCATGGATTCAAACAACCATGTATCAAAAATATTTGAAAAAAAAATATCTGTACTGAACACATATAGATGTTTTTCCTGTTATTATGCCCTAAACAATAAAGCATAACAATTATTTACATAGTATTAACATTGTATTAGGTGCTACAAATCATCTAGAGATTACTTAAAGTACACAGGAGAATGAGTATATGTTCTATGCAAATAATATATCACAAAAAAAAAGGAACTGAGGGTCCATGGATTTTGGTATCCATGGTTGGGTGGGGGAGCCAGGGTGTGTGTCCTGGAATCAATCTCCCATGGATACTGAAGGGTCACTGTATCTGGAAGAACCAGGGTCTAAGAAATCACTCCAGTTCTGCTGGGATTGCTATGAGGAGCAGAGATGAGAGGCAAATTGGTGTCCCTTGCTACCTTCAGGGTAATAGACTATGAAGGTGAAATGAAACATCAGCAGTAAGACCAAAAAGAAAGATGCCAGAGATAATTAGCATGGGTTTATGGAAAAACTGGAGGAAGGAAGCTAAGCCCAAAGAGCTGGGGTACCTCATAGGAGCTTTTGCATGATGGCAACCAGACATATGTTCAGAATTCTCCACATTCTTTCCTCCATCTCAGATAAGCAAGCACCCTGTCTCACCTCCAATTTATTACATCCCATTTTTGCTTTATTTTACATTTCTCCTTTAGGAAGCCATAGCCTACTGCTTACTTCATATCCTCAGACCGCCATTGCATTCCATTTAGACACTTGCTGACATATGTGTTGATTGTTTTGATATCTCTGGCTTCCCAAATTAAAACACAATGCTCTTGAGGCTGGAAACTGCACCTAAACTGTGTCTGGTGGAAGTGACAGCTGTCTCCACAATGACTGGTATCCATAGATCTTTATCTCTCCATAGCATAATTTATAGTTATGTAAGAAGATACTGTAGTACAACTGGCTGGTCCCACCTTTAAAAGCCTGAAGACCTAATCATTGCTGAAGTCATGGGAGACCAGCTCCAGAATAAACAAACTAAATTGACCATAAAGAGCTCAAAGTCACAATACAATCATTTGTTTGTTCCCAATTGGTCACTAAAAGCAAGAGAAAAACTAAATGGGTCAAATCAACATGGCATGAAGAAGGCATCTGGTCAACTTCTTCACCCTCGGGAGCCTGTTCAGACTATTCTGTGTCTGGAAAATGACCCTTTGGTTGGATAAGTGCAGAGCCATTTGTACTCCTTGCTTCTTCCTATTTTATTCTGCCTCTAAGCCTGCCTGAGAGTAGTGCAATCTTCATTTAAGTTTTATGTCACTTAACGAGAATACCTTCTGAGAGCGTGTCATTAGCCAATGTCCTTGTTGTTCAAACATCATAGAGCTCACTTACACCAACCTAGATGGTATGGGTTAATAACTTGACATGGCTTCTTTATGTATTCATGAGATATATAAGGTTGCTGCCAGAAGAACATGGCATGCTGTTTAGAGTAAACCACTTTTTACAAGTAGAAAAAGTGCACTCTAAAATAACAATTAAAATCATGATTAAAAAGTATAGTATAGTAAACATATAAGTTGGTACCATAGTTGCTTATTATGGTTATCGACTATTATACACTGTACATAATTGTATGTGCTACACTTTTATATGACTGGCAGTGCCGTGTCTTTGTTCATACCACCATCACCACAAACCCATGAGTAATGTGTTGGACTATGATGTCAGGACAGCTGTGACATCACAAGGCAATATCGATTTTTCAGAGCCACCTTCGTATATGGAATCAGTCATTGACAAAACATAGTTATGCTGTGTAGCACTGCCCTGGAAATCCTACGATATTTTGTTTGCCTCTCCCTTTTTACATTTTTCCTTCTATGCATCATATTATAACCACAGGAGGTTGCCCTTCTTTTCTACCCTACCCCTTTCTGTGCAATATGATTCTTACCTCCACAGCACCAATTCACAGTGTCATGTTTCCCCAGAGGTGTGAGAAAACAGATAAAAAATGATCCAAAGACGTGTCCATTGACTTAACAGAATAAGTCCTGGAGACACACTGCCTTCCTCCCCAAGTTCCCACTATATGACTTGCAGTCACCAAAACAATCTCAGCCCATGTCTAGCAGGCCAGTGCTGACTCATCCTGAATGTCATCAACACCATTAATGAGATCACAATGCCCAGACCTTTAGACTATTTCAAGCCAGCCTTTGAGAACAGAGTGCGTGAGGAAGGTTAAGGGGCCTCAAAAATGCAGTGTAGCATAGGCAGAAGGATTTTACAGTTTCAAGAAGTCAATGGAATCACACTTCCCTCACACTTGTGCCAAAAATGTAGATGCACAGACCACACCCTCAAGTTAAGAGGAAAGAAGGGCAATCAGAGAAAAGCAGCTTGTGTATTCTCCCTGTCTAGACCTCTTCATTTGCCCTCCTTTATATTTTGGATCTTGAATGTCTTCCAAGGGCCTATGGTGCTAAAGGCAACTTGGTCCCCAGCCTATGGCACTATTTGGAGGTGTTGGAACCTTTTAGAGGTGGGGCCTAGTGAAAGTAAGTTAGGTTTTTGTGGGTGTGCTCCTTCAGGGGATAGTGGGACTCCATACCCTTCCTCTTTCTTTCTGCTCCCAGTCACTATGAGGTGATCAGGGCTCCTGTGCCCCATGTTCCACCATGTGCTGCCACAGGCACAAAGCAATAAGACCAAGTGACCATGAACTGAAACCTTGAGCAAAAATAAACCTTTCCTCCTACTAAGTTGATTATCTCAGGTATTTGTCACAGTGACAAAACACTAACACCCTCCAACCCCGTTGATCCCAGAACGCCACTGAAGCCAAAACTTCCAAGGCTGCCAGTGGTCTTGTCCTTCAGGAGATCATGTGGATTACTCACTGAAATTTTCCTCAAACTGTGGCCTACAGATACTCTGCATGAGAACAATTGGGGATGCTTATTAAAGAGGAAGATTTCTGGATCATGGGTCCAGAAAAAAAGAGAAACCCTTCAACCCAGAACTGTGTACTCAGAAAAAAAAAAATTCTTTTTCTTTAAAAACATGAAAAGAGAGTAAAAGCATTTTCAGAAACCAAGAAAATGTATTGCAAACAGACATTCTCTTCAAGAAATGCTAAGCATTCTCTGGCCTGAAGGGAAACCATACCAGATGATCAATTCAATATCCAGGAAGAATGAACATCATAGGAAACAGTAAATATAACAACAACAAAACCCTACACTTTTCTTGTCTTAATTCATTCAAAAGCATATGAGTATTTAGCACAAAGAGTAAAACAATATGTTCTGGGTTTTCTAAAATATGTAGATGTGATATGTTTAATAATAGCACAAAGGATCAGTGGTAGGCAAGTGAAACCATACATTGGGGGTTTCCTATATTTTATATTTTAAGTGAGGTAAAGTTAACTGTAAATAAATCATAAAAAGTTAAAGAAGCAGGTTTTAATACCAGAGCAGTAGTTCTCAAAGGGTGGTTCTCAAAAAAAAAAGTAAATCTATTTCCACCAACAATATCAACATCACCTAATATTTGTTAGAAATCCACATTTTAGAGTTCCACCCCAAATCTGAATCAGAAATTCTGGGGATTGGCTCCAGCAATCTGCATTTTAACAACTGCTACAGATGGTTCTGATGCAAATGAAGTATGAGAATCACTTCTCTAGAGCAGGATGCCAAAATATAATGAAAAATATATAATTAAAAAGTCAATAGAATTAATAACCAAATTGAAATACTAGAAAATATTCAACTGCCTCCAAAGAAATCAAGAAAGGAGAATCTAAGATATCACACACACACACACATACACACACACACACACACACACGCACAGAAAGAGAGAACAGATAGAAAATAAATAGCAACTGGCAGAACTAAATCAATCATATCAATAATCTCATTAAATGTAAATGGACTGCCAGGTGTGGTGGCACATGTCTGTAATCCCAGCAACTCAGGAGGCTGAGACAGGAGGGTCACAAGTTCAAAGTCAGCCACAAGAAAAGTGAGGCACTAAACAACTCAGTGAGACCCTGTCTCTAAATAAAACAGGGCTGGGAATATGGCTTAGTGGTTGAGAGCCCCAGAGTTCAATCCCCGGTACCCCACCTCTAAAAAATGTAAATGTACTAAAAGTTTTAACTAAAGGCAATTAGCATTCTGGGGAAAAAATAAACAAGGCCCAATTATATTCTGTTTACAAAAGATTAAGATTAAATAAAAAGGCAAAAAATCAAAAGGAAAATAAAGGAGAAAGATATACCATGTAAACACTCATTACACGAAAGGTGGAATAGCTCTATTACTATAAGATGAAATAGGTTTCAAGAAAAGGACCCTACCCAAGATAAAGGAATGTATTCCATAATGATCAAGAGATTGATATACCACAAATATATATGTGTGTGTGTGTGTGTGTGGGTGGGTGGGTGTGTGTGTGTGTGTGTATACACACACACATATATAATATGCATGTGTATGCGAATGAGGATAGAGTTTGAAAATGCATGAAGCAATAACTAACAGAATTGGAGAAGATCAGACCTAGCAACTTCATGGCTACATAGTAACACCCCTCTTTCATTAATTCACTGAGCATCGAGGGGGAAAATCGAAAAGGAAATAGAAGATAGGAATGATGCCATCAACCTTCTTGACCTCATTAACGGTCACAGAACACAACACTCAACAACTATGAAATGTGTATTATTTTTCAAGAGCACATGAACTGTACCAAGGTCAACCTTATGCTGGATCTTAAAACAACTCTCAATTTCAGAAGTTGAAAGTCTTATAGAATATATTCACTAACCAAAATGGAATTAACTTAGAAGTCAATTAATAGTAAGATATGTAGAAAAGCTCCAAAAATGAACAAATGAAACAATAAACAGTTAATTCATGAGTCAAAAAATACACTGCCAAATAAATTAGAAAATAGTTCTAATGATGGTGAAGACACAAGATGAAAACTGTGAATGCAACTGAAATAATGCTTAGAACTCAAAATTTATAATTGTAAGTATGTAAACTAGAAAAAATATCACTTAAAAATCAGGCACACTTGTGGCTCAGTGGTAGAGTGCTTGCCTAGCATGTGTGAGGCACTGGGCTCAATTCTCAGCACCACATAAAAATAAATAAAGGGCCAACAACAACTAATAAAATATTTTTTTAAAAAAATCAAACACACACCACCCCCCACACTCACACAGCCAGCCTCTACAGCTGCCATCTCCATCGGTTCTGAAAATAGTCAACAAATTTCTCTGCCTCAAAAACAACTCCTTTGGCAGCATTCAGAATGCCTGAAAATATTACTGGAAAATCATTTCAACTTAAATACTTCAAAGAAACAACATTTTGAGCCTTTATGTCCTCACTCTTTAAAATAAATGAGTCCACAAGATCCAGAGGCAATGAACACAGCAGAACCAGAGGGGGACAAACGACTATCAGAGATGGCATAGAAGTGCACAGCTTCAATGACAAATTTTAAATGCATCCTGCTTTCATCTACATGTTCAGTGTAGAACTAGCCACATTCCAGTTACGGACTAAGAGCTCAGATTTTAATCAGAAGGTCCCAATAGGGGCCAAAACCCTTGATTTTTCTGATAGTTTATAGTAAATTCCACAATAGTTCTGTAGGGTAAGAAATCTAAAAACTTACCTATATTTAGGGACAAAAATATAACACAGATAAACAGGGAAGGATCTCAGACGGCTGCCAAAGGACAAGCATGAAGTTGCAGTGGACAAATAAAACCACACAGAGCCTAAAAGAGGTGACTGAATGAGAGAATCCACGTGAAAACACTTTGTAAACTGCACTCTGTTTACAAGTAGGATGCCATAGTCCCAACTTCCATTATTCTCCCTTCAGGGAAGAGACTCCTAGGGGTGGTCAATGAGGCTCTGGGCTTAGGAGGCATGTGGTTAACCAGAAACCAAACTTCCGCACAACCCTGCTGCAGGCACCTGAAAAACTTCTGGATGACCCCCCCCAAAAGTCCTAATAACAGAACCAAGAGCCATTGCTGATCCTGGCCCCTCAGACCAGAGGAGTCAAGGCTGCCTCTGTCTTTTCCCATTTTTCTGAAGTGATAGTGATGGATTGGCCATGGGATGCAAGAAGCCACAATCAGATGAGCAACACGTGTTCCTAAGAAGCAAACAGGTGAGCACAGGGTCCTGAGAGGTGCAGAAGTCGATAAAAGGGGTCAGCAGGTCCCCGCAGGACATTAACTACAGAAACTCATTGACAGATCCACCCATCCACAGATCCATTCTCCCAACACCCTAAAGACTCCACCACTATCCTGGTGAGACAAATGGGAAATGTCAGAGTCACACCTGGGCCTGTCCATGACTTACAATTTAGCATGTACATTTATGCTGTAGGAAAATGCCTCAAAATCTCCATGGTCTTTTTCTTCTCCTGCTTACAGGGATTTGAGTTATATTCAGGCATTACTAAGAGGACGTACTTGAACAGGGAATGCCCAATCAGTGCTTTTAGACCTTAGCTGGGTGCTAACCTTGAGTGAGAACAGGTAAGCTGCATTGGTTGTGCCCAGAGGCTGTGTTGGTGTATGCACCTCTTGGACCCCAGCAAACTACAGTCACATTGACCAGCAATCTGTGGTCTCTGCTGAGCTGCAGAGCTCCCATGCATTCCTACTAGTCAGATGTGCAAGGACAGCAGGAGGCAGTAATTCAGGAGTAGCCAAAGGCTCTGTGGGTTCAGTCACAACAGACAGACCACTCTTGCAGTGTGGCTCCATGTCTCTGTATCATCAAGGCTATGTCACTTATCACCTCACAACATGATTTTGAGGGCAATATGCCATTACGAAGCTAGTGTGAGATGGTGAAATTATAACAGTATCCTAAAGGAAATGATTTTCCTCTCAAACATTTCAAAGCCATTGATATGCCTAAGGATATTGATGAGACCTGGAGAAAAGGTAGATATTATCCGAGTTTTGATGTGGATGTGGTCAAAGTGTTAACAAAATATTTCCTCTTTTGCCCTGCAGTTAAATTCTGGGCTCTGTTCTTCTGAAACAAAGATTTAACTGTGCCATTAAGTGGCATCACTGATGGTAGAAACAGTCCAATCGATAACCAACATCAGCACTGAACACCTACCTGACAGGAAGTCATATCCTTGGGCCTTATACAGTGTGGCAGTCTTGTCAGGCATGTCCCTTGTGTGAACACTAGAAGTTGCATCAGAGGCTCCTGTGGGGAATGATACTTCTGAATTGGGGAAGCCCCCCTCATCTGCCACTGACAACCTCTTCTGTTTGCCCCTGAGCCATTTAGCACAGACCACCTCTTCATGATCACTAGTAGACCTGGACATCCCCTTGTCACTGCCTGCAGCAAGCTCTGCCTCTGGCCTGCACCCTCCTGAGCAGGCCTTGCAAGTCTGAGAATTGACTCTAATGAGAGACCCTCATGGGTATTGTGTGGGGAGATGTCTCTTCTCAAGGCACTAAATTATCCACCTTCTATCAAACAAGAACTCACAAGCAACAACTCTCAGCCATTAATCCAGTGGTCTTTTCTAATTAGTCCATTCATATTTTTTTTAAAAAAGAGTAATTGTCCAGAAAATACAGATCAAAAAACAACAAAGCAACTAAGCATCAAAGGAGCTTGAGTAAGCTGCTGGGCTTGAATTGACAGAAAATGAAAAAGTTCCACTCAGAAATAGTTAATAGGATCATGCTGAAGATTTGGGGTGTGTGAGGAGTTTCAAGACTACCAACAGTAGAGAGTCAGACCTTTATTTGAAGCCCAGCTATCAACCTAAGTGGAAGGGCAAAGTATGAAATGCAATGCAGGTTGGTCATCTCTAACCAGCATTGAGTTACCTTTGCCCATTCCCTACATGTTGCTTCCACCAAAGTTTCCCGGGGGTCATGTGGGGTGTCAGAGGTGCTGGGTGGGATCAGGAAGTGGGCCCAGTCCACTCACCTGTCTGGGCAAGTCCCTCTGTCTGTGTATCTGGCACAGCCAAAGGCAATAAATGGTTGTTAAATGGAGAAACAAATGACCTATCCTGAACTCTGAGCTTCTTCCCCTATAAAATGAAAACAATGTCTGCTTCATCAATTTCTGAGGATTATTTTCAAATG